TTTTTTTTTTGAGAAATTGCAAAGTAGTAAACACTTTTTATGGAAAATTACGTCAAAAAACCGAACTCATCATCACTGATACTATTTTTTTGTTCGTTTTTAATGGTTTTAAATGAAAATATTTCTATTTGGGAGCTTTTTTTTTGGAGAAATTGCAAAGTAATAAGCAATTTTTATCAAAAATTACGTCAAAAAACCAAACTTATCATCATTGATGCTACTTTTTTGTACGTTCTTAATTGTTTTAAATGAAAGTATTTCTGTTTGGGAGTTTTTTTTCTTTTTTGAGAAATTGCAAGGAAAGATCCATTTTTAATTAAAAATTACAAAAAAAAAAAACGAACTCCTTACCACGTTTGAAAGGCTATGAATTGTTCCTAGTGATATCCTTCGGCCAATAGCTACTGTGAAAGGGCACTCCTCAGCAGGTATTTGTATTGTAAGTCAAATTTGTTTGAAATTACTTGATTTTTACAGGCTAATTTGATGTCAGTGGACAAAGCTACGGCGTATTGCGAAGTGGATCCCCCAACGCACCATCTCAGTGATGTTATCATATCACATAGCGAATATATTGAAAATATCACAAGCACTCCCGTAGTTTTATCTGCTTTACCAGAAGCTACAACGCCAATCGCAACATTTAGCAGTGCTGTCAAGGATGCAACCCTAAAGGTGCGTGTGGTAAAATGTTTGGATTTTTAACGATAAAAAAGAGAGATTTCTGTTACACGTGGTCGATAAGTGTTGTCAAAGTCAGGAAAAAATGAAAAACAAGTTTAGTTTTTTGCTGGGGCACGTTTTTTATTAAAATACTAACTTTGGCTTAGGAGAGCAATGAAGCGAAGGATACTTATTTGATACTTGACCTGTGATACGGCGTTTCCGTCACTGATGCGCTGCTGATCTTCCCCAGTGTGACTAAGCCGACAAACACGCCATCGAGTTCTATCCTGAGCTCGCCCCATCCACAAAACTCCATGTAATTGAGTTAGCGGGTCGGACCAGCGCATCGGCGGCCTTCCTACTCGTCTTTTTATACATCGTGGGCACCAACTGATAACGCGTTTCGTCCATCTGTTGTCAGTCATCCTTGCTACGTAACTGGCCCAGCTTCTTCCCCTTGCATACATGTATTGTATCTTTCGTAATTTAGCAAAAAGGAAAAGAATGAAAAACAGGGTTTTTTTTGAGACATTTTTAAAACATTGAATTTAACTAGAACAGTAATGGTGCGAAGAACAATTGTATCAAAAAAGTGGTTTTGAGCAGTAATACTAGACTAGGATCAGTAAAAAGTGGCCAAAGATAAATGAGCATGTAAGATAATAAGAGGAAAGCGTTCATTGAATAAGTGATTTATAAAAAATATATGTAAGAATGTAGTGGCGAGGAAGGGTGCAGAGTCAGTCGATAAGAGATATTTCGGGCCATTAAATCGCAAAAATAGAGCACTTCTCGTTCATATATACAGTCAGAAAATCCCTGGCATAAGTGGCGTGATCAAGAGAGAAGCCATAATCGTCGTACTGACGAGGTCCATTTGTGGTAAAGATAAGAAATGTATACGACTTAATAGACCGAAACATTTCATACCTACTTTAATAATTCTTCACAACCCTTTTTATCGTTTTTTGCTCATATTTTCTCTCTACCCCTAAGAAAAAAAGTGAAGTTTCGATAAGTTAAGGTGTACTGATTTTGTCGACTACTGATAATTTTCGTTTTTTTTTTGAGCATCGATCAATGTAGGTTATAAATGTAGAAATATTATTTTCAGTTATATTTGGTATCAGAAAAACCCTGCGCAGCAGCACCGACAATAATGGTACATTATGGCGCCGAGGAGCGTCGTATTTTGCTCCAAGCTGGCGACATGACACTTACCTACAACCGGCTACTTTATGAAATTCGAGCACTGTTCTCGCTATGGTCTAAGCCGAAACTGCTACTTTCGCTGGAACCACCCCCGGCTTCTTCGTTTTTATCGTCAACCTCTTCTTTAGTTGAACTTGCGAACAAAACTGTCTACGTTATAACGTGAAATTTTTTGACGACTAATAAATTTTTAAGTGTTTTTTTTGAACTTTTTGAACGTTTTTTTGACCATGAGAGCAGTTAACTTTACCCGAAATTATCTTTTTTGTTTGGCTCTGGATAGGTTTTATTGCTAGCCTAGCCACAGTCAGGCCTTTTTTCCAGCTTAGCTACGGTCACATATTTTTATTCGAGCTTGTTTTAGTCAGTTCTTTTCATGAGCTTCATTACTTTGTTTTTCGTCGTCGTGTTTAGCGTGCAATTTTTTATTTTACAAAATTGTCCTAGTAATTTTTGAAAGAAATTTCTATGATAATTCCGAAACAGTGCACGGTTAATGCAGGCCTAATCTGTTCAGCCTGCTTTTTCAGAATCATTGAGCAGAAATTGTCGTTTTTTTTATCCGGTTGTTGCTGAAAAGAAATGTATATGACTTAATGGACCGAAACAAAATTCCTCTTCAGATTTTCTGATTCTATCTTTTTTTATTTCCCTTATATACTTTGTTAGCTTTTTTGTTTGTTTAGTTGTTTTTTTTTTTGAAATCTTCAATTTTCAGCAGTTAAAGTTTCAGTTAATCAACACTCTAATTTCATTATTTTTGCATATTGTTATTTAAATAAATGCGATCTTTCTTGTCACAGTTATAATCTGCTGTCTGTGTGCACTGCCTCAACACTCTTTTCAAGTCATACAGTGTCCGATTTCTTCGAAATCCCATCTCGTTTTTTTGAAGACTGACAAAACTAGTTGTGGTTTTTGCACAAGTAGTGCCTTCTGCTACTTCTGAATTTTGTCCTCTGGCAGCATCTTCGGTGGTAATTTGCTCGTTTGCTTCTATAATTCCTTGGTAGATATTTCACTGACTTTTATAGTGGTCGCTACTTCTAGGCATAATTTGGCATGTTTGATTCCTGCAGTGTTCCCCTTGGAAAACCAGATCACTCCAAAGTCTGTTGATTTTTTTTTGTTGCAAAATTAATACTTATAGATATCAGTCAAAGCCGCCAAAAACTTACATTTTTGCTTATTTTTTAGAAAAAAAAGTTAAAAAAAGTTTTTTTTATAGTTTCATTGTTAACATTTAAAAAAAAAACATCTGAACTCGTTGACAGTTTTGCTTGCTTTTGGCAAATTAAGCTGTTCCATCGGCTACTTCCACCTGCCTTGTCCTGTCATGAAAAGTAAAATATGAAAAATTTTTTCATAATTTCATTATTAACATTTGAAAAAAAAACATCTGAATTTCGGAAAAATTGTCATAAAAAAGTAGAGTATTTCAACAACGATAATTTTGCAATTCCAAATTTTTCGAAACGTGTGACAATAGAGTATTTCAACAAAGATAATTTTGCAATTCTAAATTTGTCAAAGCCCACGGCGACACTTCCCCATAAGTATGAATTCACGCGCAGGTTCGTGATTTGTTCGCTTCTGAGCCAAATAGTTCGGCTGATCTTTGATAGATACGAAATCTCGGTTCAGTGCTCACCGAAATTTCTGGATGGTTGTTTTCCCGCTTTCCTGCTCATCATGCCCATATTTTCGTCGAAGCTTTGCCCATATTTGTTTCCTTTCATTCACCGATTTGGTGAGCATGAATATCACATGGCCATCGATCATTGCGCTGCTTTTAGGATTAGTCATCATGCTTGTATTGGTCCAGTTCTCGAAATGCGCCTGAGCTCTTTGTGCAATATGTCCTGTGATATGCACATCGTCGATCTGTTTAATTTGTTTAATGTTAAGAATAATGCAGATTAAAACATGGTGACCATTAAGATGCTGGATGGGGGCAGCCATTTGATGTAAGATGACAAAATATAACACTGGTGAGATGTATCAAATTCATTTTCAAAGTTTGTTATTGTACTCCTACGGACGGGCTATTCATAGTCACCTTGTGGGGCAGGTACTGCCCTTGATGGTCTTTACCCTTCACTGATTGGGGCCGTTGTTCCTGACCTTCAGCTTGTTAGCCTTTTCCTTTTGCCTATAGGGCTTTAACGGCCCGTACTGCCTTCTATTTTAGTACTATTTGATAAACTGCCTGGAATATGGGGGAGATGATGCTATAAATGCATGTTATTTTGCAGTCCAACTGCATTTGAAATAAAACATTATTTATCACTTATTTCTAGTACAATTTTGCGGATCTTTCCGCTTCAAGCTCATTAAAATTTCCCTTCTCTATTTTTATAATGAAGCCCTTTGTTAATAGGATAAACATTTCCGATGTCTGGGAGCAGAGCTTATCTCAGTTTTTCGATTTCGCGGGAACAACAGTCTTTGCATGCCTCGTTTTTAGCTATGTAAGAGAGGCATTTCTCTCGTTTGGGATTGGCTTCTTCCTACCGACTTTTGAAGGAATTCGACATATTCTCATCTACTTCTCCGCGACGGGGAGCCGTCTCCACATCTATTTTCACACAACTTTACCGCCGTCATCTCGACTTCGTCGGACACCGACCCAATAAATTCGGCTTGACTCTGCCTCGGGCGGAATCGTGACATATCGGGAGTATTTCACGACCATGCATCCTCTCTTCCAACTCAGCAACCAGGAAAGCTAAGAAGTGGAAAAAAACAAGTGGAAAAAAAACAGTTGTCCCCTATGCGAAGCTCTCGAAGAAGTGACTTGGTTTTTTAGGAAACGATTTATCCGTGTTTCATCCCTGAGCTGTAACTAAAAGAGCATATCTCTCAGAATCTCAATTTACACAAATACTCGCACTACCTCTTTGATCCAGACAAATCACACACCTGGAAATCCATCATTTTTGTCCTGTATTTCTGCGCGGCAATGAACTCCCCACGTGAGGCCACCTAACTTTGTGACAGAGTGATTTTTGATGTGGTGGTGGACAGGGCAATAAGCAGTGGGCTAAGATCAAGCGAAGGCAAGTAGTAATTGAAAAGAGCTTGTTACATTAAAAATCTATAAAAATATTATGTAGCATAGTCGAGAGGTTGAGTAAATAACCAAAAAGGAATATTTTGGCTCATTGAATCGTTTATGAATTCGCCGCAGATTCTCTGAAGTTACCGCCTTTATGTCCATTCTCTGCTCAGGTTTTATCAGTCATAAAAATTTCAGTAAGAAAAATTTGCTTCACTGGACATTGGGTGTATTTTCGTGATTATGCATTCAGAACAGTTGATTAAAGAAATCGCATGATTGCTGAAGACTGCTGGGGTGCGCAGCTTGAAAATCAAAAAATTCAAAACGATTACCCAAAAGTAAGTGCAGTAAGGGAGCTCGCGGAGGATCGGCTTGATCAAGTCACTGGTTAACAGATAGTACCATCCAATACAGTACGGCGGAAATGAATCTTCTAGGTACTCGTCTTTCATCACTGCCCTGAAATATAAAGAAATACATATTTCTTCTCATATTTGTCAGCCTGTTTGCAAAACATTGCTGAATCAAAGCAATTGTCTTCAAAATCAAACCATCAATTGAGATGATAGGTTATGAAATATAATGAAGTTCTGGTGTGAAAAAAGTTATGCTTGGAAAAGAAACTGAGCCGGTCACGTGGAGAGAATGAAAGTCAAAAGATGGACGAAACGACTGATTATTTGGCGTCCACGACAATGCCAAAAGATTGGTTGGAAGAAAAACCACAGCCGCCCCGAGATGATTCGCTAGCTGGAATGCATAACGCGCTACAGATGTGGACAGCGCAAGGTCGAAGTCGAGAGCATGGTTACCGGTTACACTCCACTGGAGAATGTCGCGATTATGGGTCAGTAATGAGCTAATAGCCATTTCAAGAACCAAATGATACTGAATATTAAAATGTGGGTTATTAATTTCATTGCATTTCTCCTGACAGAGTGATGAGTTATTGAGCAGTCTTGTCAACACCTGTGAAAAATTTTGCCATATTGCGTTATGAGACTTTCAAAAATTTGTGCGGGAAAAGAAATCATCTATACCAACATCTTGCATATCATAAGCGGTTATATCGATTAGCTGTTGTGCTCAATTTGTCAAAAGGCATTTTTCAAATTTTGCTGCTCTGCGTTTTGCGCTGGTCACTTAATAATTCATATTAAAGGTTGAAGATAAAATATCAAGAAGAAAAGAAAACAAAGAAAACGTGGAAAAGTGTAGTAAGATGGGAAAGGGGGCTGAAGAAATATTTGTTACAGGTAAGAAATGTTTCGGTCCATTAAGTCGTATACATTTCTTACCGTTAC